CTGCCTTTTCTTTGCCACTACCTTTCTCCCACCTCCCTATTCTTCTTCTGGCAGATTCTTCATTACTAAATACTTGCTTTTTTAATATCATTATCAGTTACAAGTAAAGCAGCTGCTTTATCTCATCAACTTCTGAGTTCAATTGAGGAACAACTTCTGTGGTTTCTAGCCCTAATCTGCATAGGCTTTTTCTTTAGATACAAATATTTCCACTTCCTCCTTAAGAAAAATCTTGCAGGTACATTTTAAAAGAGCAGATGTGATTCAAAGAAATCACTCACCAGAAGCCAACTAATCCAACTTGAATGGGAGCACTCATCCATGGAAATCTCTGTTAAAAAAACATATACAGTGAGTATGATATCTTTTCCCCTCTTTCCCACCTTCCTGGAAATTTCTTATGGTGTAAGGGACAGATTAGATCTAAAAGACTGTTGGATACAAAGAAGGCAAAATAGTTACTGAAACACCTTATACTTCAGCTCTAAGTTGAGAGCCTGCTCCAAATTGCTCTGAATGTAATAGAAAATGCCTAGGGATATCACTCCACACATATCCTAAGTGTCACTAAGAAAATGCCATAGGTAGTTGACTGTTTTCCTTGTGTCCTGATTGTGACTCGAGTGTGTTACCATTTCCTCTGTGAGTCCCCTATGCTCACAGAATTTATCAAGAGAGCCAAATTCTGGAGCAATACAGCCAGTACTGCAAGGTCTTGAGGACACAGCAAATTTGGTCTGAGACTCCCTGTGCAGAGGTAGCTCTGGCTACAGCTCCTCTCTTCACTGTGACACTCAATGGTTCTAATTTACAGCTGGGGATTTCTGTGTGTGCAACAGCAGCTGCCATCCAAAAATAAAGGAGGGGTCCTGCGTCTCTTAGCCCTTTCTCTGTTCTCATGATTTGCTTTGTGAGCTACAGGGGTAAGTTCCTACATATCAGCCTAGTAATTCTAGTTCTGCAAGAACTTAGGTCCTTCCTTACTGAAATAGAAAATGGTGGAGAAAGTGGGGAAACAACACAGAACAACAGAATGCAGCCCCTAAGATACAGATGCTTATTTTTAGCATATCCTTCAATATTTTGATTTTTGTAGAACTCAACTAAGTGCCAAGGAATATAAGTTTTATTGTAGGTTTTTAATGATTTAGGAACCCCTCCTCCCCATTCAGTGTTAGAATTTTAGTTCAGATTAATTACTAATGAAATAAAACCAGACCTGTTTATATGAGACTGCTACTATGGGCTTTTGTTACAATAAAACAAGTGCCTTCAATAAGCAGGACACACACAGCTGCTGCTATAACAAAAAGTTGATTTTGAAGCAAAACTGCTACTGAGTCAAAATTATACATTATAGTGGGCAAGTACAAAGTTGATGCTTTGTGCAAGAAGCATTTCTCAAGCTGTAGAAGTTAAGAGAGAACTGGTGTATGAGAGAGAGATGGTCAATATTTAAAGGCAGAAATGGAGAAAAGAGGTTGATGCTGGTGCTACAAGTAGTATGAAAAGCATGGAAAACAAGCCTGAAATAAGCTCTCTCCAGAGCTTGAGACTGAAGAGGAAATGATGTAGAAGATTGTTCCTCTTTTTCTTGGAGGCAGTCTGTAATCCAGAAATGAGTGCAGGAAGAACTGTGCGATTCAGCAAAAACCTGCAACAGTAGATAACAAATGGGAAAAGATAACAATAGCAACAAGTTATAAAGAGTGAATTCAGCACTCCTCTGCTGTGCTGGCATCTGCTATGTCCATCTTAACCTGACTCTCGGCTGATAAAAGTTTACTGGAACAAAAAGTAAGCTTTTTATGTTGGGAGTGTTAAGGGCAAGAGATGATGCGACCTAGAGCAGAAGAACAGACAGCGTTAACCACACCGAAGTATGAGGGCCCAGCTCTTGCAGGGAGGCTGGCAGCTCTTATGTGTATTTGGGAAAAGAAAACAAATTGCACGCTGTGGAAGACTCCAATTCAAGGGGAGAACTAAGAGGAATACTAAGAAGTGTGAGCCGAGATGTTTACCAGAAAAGCCCCAAACTTGATTTTATAAATAAAAGGTGTGTTAGAGGGTATCATAATATTACCAAATAGTGGTTTCAAACCTTTAAGTTAGTTGATCATTAAATGGAAAGAATAGAGGTGCCCAGCAGTAGCTACAGCCTGTGACGCCTATTACATTTGTTGGAATATTTTATCCAACAATAAAGTTATATTACTTTTCAAGAGAGTTACCATACTACACTAATTAAGAAAGATGGTGAGGGAAAAAAAGATGATTGGGCAAAAAAGATCTAAAAGGGCAATATTAAGAATTGTGACTGCCCAGGGAATAATTCTGAAAAAAATAAAGCAAGTCTCAAATGCAGACTGTACATCCCTACAAAGAGATAAAACAGAGAAGGATATTTAGTGTGTTAGAGATCTATCACTTAACCTAGAAAGAAGACAGTTTCAAATGAATTAGGATTTAAGTTCCAGATGACTTCATGGAATCATTAGCAGTTAGTGCAAATGAAGAAAATGCAGAAATGAAAACTAAGCAAACAAAAGACACAAGGAAAACCAGAGATTTCCTAAATGCTTCTTTTCATTGTTAGACCTTAAAGCCTTCCAGCTCTCCCAGCTTAACTATGTCTGCTTTCAAGAAGATGAATACATGAAATGACAGTTAAACTAGGAATGCAAGAAGGAATCCAAGGCGTAAGACATTCAAGACTGATAATTAAAAAAAAGGTGGTCTGTTCCAGTATTTTAACTGTTTTGAATACACATTTTAGCTGCAGTTTAACAGAATCCAAGTGGCTTGTTTTATAGGATGCAAGAGGAAATTAGTAGAATTAACTTGAATGTCAACAAGGTATACAAAATAGGAAGAAAAAGAGTAGATGAAGCTGCAAGAGTGGTAATATAAATTAAAACTTCAGTGTCAATTGGAGTTTAAAGAAGTTTCTACAGAAGAAACATTATTTCTTTAGGAGAAAGGTTATATATCAAATCTATAAATCCTATGCTCACAATAATGTTGTTTATGGCTCCTTTCGCAGCAGCAGGTAACTCGTTTCTGTATGAAGCTACTCAAGTGTAAATCAACAGAGATAATGAATACAGGCATTAAACAGCCTCATCATCAGGAACCACTACGGTGCTTAATAACACAAAATGCATGCCAAAGCCACTGCTGAAATCTAGGAAATAAAAAACACATTTAGAACTTTCAAGTCAAGAAATAATTAAGATTCTTTTAAAATCAGCAGCTATGTGTTCATGTGTTTGCATTTTGAAAATATTCTTGAACCATTTTCTAATTGTAACTATAGGGAATATTGTAATTCCCACCAATGTTTCCTCATGCAAAACAGTGTCAGAACACAGGGATGAACACTGCTACATAACCTGCTTTTACTCCAAACATCAGAGAATGACATCCAGCTACCTCTGAGATGTGCAGTCCAGAAGTATTTGTTTCTATCCCACTGCAGACTATCATTCTATTTTCTTATTTAGCAACCATTTGCTTATTTTCTGGCCTTCTTGTGTGTTGGTTAATGGGCTTTGGCAGGCATACAAAACTCTTTTCAGGAGTGATGATGTGCAAAGCAAAGGCTAAGAGAAATGAGTTAGTGAAGCGTTGTGTGGGTGGTGTCAGAGGACTGCAAATGGGATGGTGCTTCTGAAACCTCAAAAGAACATGCACAAGCTGCTTGTTAAAAACGCAGCTCATTCCTTAATGGTTTTAATACTAATCTATACCAAGTGTTACCACTGACTACCTGCAGAGCAGTGTTTCACCTGAACTCACAGGCTTTGAGGCTGAGGGGGAGGAACAGGTGAGCATAAACGGTCATGATGGTACCAAAGACCACTGAGTAGTCACTGAAGAAATCTCTCATTTTTGCTGATCTGAAAAATTCACAACACCCTTATATTGATTATACTGCATTAAAAAAAAAATCCGATATTTGTCTCCAAACCCTGTGAAAACCTTCCACAAATATCATGTATTTGACAGCTGAGTTGATTAACATTTCTGACACCTCTCCCATGTCAAATCCATGTAAAACCATCTTTGCTCTAAATTTAAAAATATTTTGATATTGGAAAATATATATTGCTGTTTTGAGTAATTTATTTTCAGGAACATAACAATATCACAACCTGCTTAAAGAACAGGGTAGGACTCAAAAGACAATTATGCTATAGGACAGTACTACATTTGAATGCATTGCACTCACTTCTTTTAGGAGATGAGGCTTGTGCACCTTGCACCTCTGGGTGAAAGTCATCTCTTTTCCCGTTAAGATAAGAAGGCATAAGAAAGCCGAGAGGGTTTAGGGTTAGGGTTTAGGATTAGGTTTGGGGGTTAGGGCTAGCGTTAGGGTTATGATTTAGGGTTAGGGTTAGGGTTTAGGGTTAGGTTAGGGTCAGGGTTAGGGTTTAGGGTTAGGGTTAGGGTAGGGGTTAGGCTTAGGGTTAGGTTAGGGTTAGGGATTAGGGTGAGGGTTAGGGCTTAGGGTTTAGGGTTAGGCTGTAGGGTTAGGGGTTAGGGTTTAGCGTTAGGGTTAGGGGTTAGTTTTAGGGTTAGGTTAGGGTTAGGGTTAGGTTTAGGGTAGGGTTAGGGTAGGGGTTAGGGTTAGGCTAGGGTTAGGGTAGTGTTAGGGTGAGGTTTAGGGTTATGGTTTAGGGCTAGGGATAAGGTTAAGGTTAGTGTTAGAGGTTAGGATTAGGGTTAGGGTTTGGGTTTACGGTTAGGGTTTAGGGTCAGGGTTTAGGATCAGGGTTAGGCGTTAGGGGTTAGGGATACGGGTTAGGGTTGGGGTTAGGGTTATGGTGCACAAGTTTCATCTCCTTGCACAAGCTTGTACTCTAAACCTCAAATGCTCCATTTCCTACTCCTAAATCATGAGAAATAGTGTCTCCTGTTAATAAAAGGGGAGAAAAACAAAGTGCTCAAAGAAAACTAGAGTTTTCAAAATTCACAGACACTTGGCACTTCTTCCTAGTATCTCATTTATATACTAAGACACAAGCATTTTCAAATGATGTAAAGCTAATTCAGCACAGGAAATACGAGGAGCAGAAATAATATATGAAATATAATTTAAATATTTAGTTTTAGGAAGTTTCATCTTAAACAAATGAACAGAACTAAACAATGTCCACAACCACTTTTCTAACGAAGGGTCTGGAAACTCACACTACACTTTTTTTTTTTTTTTTCTTCAACAGAAAGGAATTGGGCCCTTCTGGGCTACTAGTTCCAGCTTGTCTGATGTGTTTCAGGACAGGTAAGAGTTTGTCTGCAGCTAGGCAAGAAAGTAAAGCGAAGATGACACTCCCTTTACTAATAAATGAACCCAGTCCCTCAACTGACAATTGTTTTTCTCACTTTAGAGAACATAATAATGATAACAATAATAATATCTCATGCATATTCAGGGTATAATGTTGACTTAGTTGACACACTTACTAACACCAGGTTTTTGATAATGACTTCACACTATTTTAACATAAATGGAATGTAAGAAATATATCATCTTTACTGAAAAGTGCCTATTCAATGCCTACCCTGCACTTGCTTTTCCAGTAATTTTAAGGGATCACTTTTAAAAGAGGTTTTTAGTTTCATTATTATTTCCAAATTCAAAGTGCTCCTACAGCAGATAAGCAATGTTTCCTTATTAATATTAATACCTGGGAGAGAAAAAAAAAGTTTTTTTCATCTGTTTGTAACCATATTTCAAGTCTTGAAACAAGAAAGTTTATTAACTAGGAGGAACTGGGCACTTTAAGAACAATCACTAGAATAACAAAAAATGTCAGGTTTCAAAAAGAAAAAAAAACAAAAAGGAAAAAAAAAAGCTAAGAACCCATCTGTGTCTGCCTGTGCAAGACGAGGAAAGCAGCCTCCTAGCTGCAAAGCAGACTTCACAGCCTTGTTGCTCATATAGCCCAACTCCTCAGGTCGGCCCATTTTCATGGGGAGTGCTCTACTCATCCTTTGCACAGCATCCTAGGAGGTGTTTGGGAAATGCAGGGAGTGTTGAAGGGAAGATCATGTTTGAGTAGATATGTGAAAGCATTTTACCAAATTCATCTGGCCAAATCTTGTGTACAGGGAGCAGTGCAGCGGAAAAAAAAAATGAAAAACTGGCAGTTTTAAAAGGCTTGGAGCTCATCTATCTCTGAATAGCTCATTTAAAATGTTAAGGCTTTGATATACAGACAAGTACCTGCATTTGTTATCCCTTCATTTAATTGGGTTGTGCCTGTGATTTAAATTCTGGTTATGGGTAATTGTTTTCGTGAGCCAGCGGCACAGCTCCCTCAGTTTGTTTGTGACTGGTTTCAGTCAAGATTTGATTTTTTTTTGAAAGAATTACCCAGGTTCTCCCAGATTTGGTCTTAATGGTTAATTCCTGGTCAGAGTTGGAGGCCTCCGAATTTTGGTTCAGCATTTTAGTACTTAGCACTCTCTAACTACTCATTAAAGTACTTTAATAGAGTTAAGTCACAATCATAAGTTTTTATGATTTCTTTTTCTGAACAGTTGAACTCCAATCTTATCCTATAGGAAAATAATTGGTTTTCAGTAGCACAAGAGTTCTTTTTCTAACTACAACATTTGGTAGGGAAATACGAAGACTCAAATGGTATTTTAAATATAACATGAAAATATTCAACTTATGATATAAATATATACATATAGATTGTTGACAAGACTAACCTTTAGAAAGGCTCTCTTTTCCAAAGTATTCATTATAAAGGGAGGAATTGCTGCAAATGGGAGAAAAAAAACCATGAACCTTGCAGAAAAAGGCATTCTGTTTTAATATTCTGTTAAGATGAACTAATATATTGAAACACATTTTTAACGGCCATTTATCTTGAGCTGAGCTTCCATTACATTCTGCCAATTCAAGAAACTAGACTGCTGTTTTACAAAGAACGACTCCCCAGTAAGCGCAGTTTCTAACCTCACACTAAACTAAACCTGAGCTCAAAAAGCTGACACTGGTCAAAACACATACTCTTCCCTAAACTAATTTTAGTCAAGTAGAACTTGCTGCTATACCTCTACCTACTAGCTACAACTCTTCTGCAAAATGCTCAAGAGCTCTTCTGTTGTACTTAAATGTATCACACTATGGCTGTTTTCACAGTAAGAAGTGCTGTACTCTTCCATGTGGAACTCCTTAACATGTTAATACTGCCTGGAAAACTATAAGATAATTTGGTCTTTGAGAAAAAATAGCTATATAGAATTTAAGCTCTCCTCACTTCAGAAATCAGTAATCAAGAGCTGTATTGATTGAAATTGTCCTTACCCATGCCAGGAGCAGCCATCAGAATCCTTGAAATAACCACCTGAGTAATTGCCTGCTGAGCTGCTTTGGTTGATTCACCCAGTCTGTTTCCATTCTCATCTGTGACAGGGATTCCAAACTTGAGTTCCCTGTTGGAAGATATAAATCTGTGGAGTTCTATTTTCCAAGTTTGTCTTTAACACTCTTTGGTACAAACGATTTCAAAAGGCAGAGGAGTTGTGGAAAATCTGTAACAGCAGTCTATCACCTGAGCCTGCTCACATGCCTTCCAGAGGGGAAAAGAGAAGACCTGCTATCTCCACAGTCCATAGCAGGGACAGGTTCCTTCAAAAAGCAATTTAGAGAATTTGAACTTTCTGGATTGCTCTCAAAGTTTACTGTCTTCTCCCACAGTCAATATTGGAACACAGAAAAATTAGTTTCATTGAACTAAAAAAAAGCATCTTTGTGAAAATTCCCTCCAGAACATTCTAGTCTTACAGTTTTCAGTTTAACCAGTAACATCATGTTTTACAATATACAAGTAGGTATGAAAGAAACTACCTTTCTATGACTGTAGTATTCTCTATGAGATATTTTGCTCAAGTGCAGGATTGGGTGTTAAACCCATACCAAGGAGAACTTCTAGGAGAGCAAGAAGCAGACAGAAGGACACTTTTATTGAGGACTGCATTAATTCTTCTTGCCTTTTATAAGAGATAAAATACTACAATGGATTGAAATTCATACTCCCTTCCTCCTTCCCCACCATAACCTTCACTTCATAAGAGGGCATTTTCCATTTGTTTTTTTCCCCTACTTCTATTTTTAGTTCTAGTTAAACCAGATTACACATGAAATGATATTTCTGTGAACAGGCATATTTTTGTAATTCAGATGACTGAAAAGAACTGCAGAGGCTGACTTCTATGACTTCTCTATGTGAGATTTGAAGAAACATTTTTGAAATGACTATATTTTTCCAAACAGCAGCTTGTATTTAAAGAGTCCACATGATCAAGTCTTGGAGGACAGGTACTTGGTTTCTGAGATTCAAGACTGAAGAAATAAATGGATATTTATCTGAAGAGAATGAATATGTTCTATTTTATATGTGTCACAGTTGATCGACCAAAACAAGACTGTGTGAGATTTTAGTAACGTTCTGGAAAAAACTGAACATCTATAACATGCTTTATTTAGTGATGTGCCAATCTAAAAACCTGACAACATCATTGTCTTCTAGAATGATTGTAATATTCTTTATTTTGCTTACCTTTGTCTCATGAGTGGAATATTAATACAGTTAGCAGCAGCAACAGCAGCAAAAGGAACGAACCTTCCTATGAGAGGTGAGACATGCTGCGAAAAGCACAGAGAGAAAAAAAAATACAGGAAAAACAATTACATTATGAATTTTTCCCCAAAGGTCATATTAAGATGAACTTCATGTACTAGTGATAGAACAAATTTATTTCCTTTAATTTAAAATTTGTTGAAAACTCACCAGTGAGGCCTGTAGCAAAAGAACAAACAAACAAGACTCAAGTCATACATACTTTAATTACAGTGAGCACTAGCATGAGATTGGGAAAAATAATCTGAATTTGGTAGTATCACGGCAGAGGAGTGTCAGCTTCTGAGTATGTCTGCCCAAGGGCAACAGTAAATGGACCTCAACATGAGTGTCTGCACTGGCAAGGTTACAACCAGCAGACATCTATACTAGCTGCATCTAGGACCACTGACTTCAGAAACTATTCATCTCATCAATATATTATATAATCTGACTTACTCTCTTAAAACAGTCTCTTTATATTAAATAACTTGTCAATACTCTACCATACCTAGTACTTTAAAGTATAAGCAAAGGGGTGCACATCTTAGCAAGTTCTAACAGCCAGTCTAGAGTCAGATTCCATGTTTGCTGAAGCAATACTACCCTTTTTAAAACATACCTATACCTTTTATGGTCATATTCAGATACTGGACACACATCTTTGTAATTACACATCCACTCGAGTTAACAAAAAATATTAGATGCTTGGACAAGTCACAAAGAAACTGCAAAACGGGCACCTTCACTGGATACAGTTTGTGTTAACAAAACAGCAATGCCCAGACATTTAAAACGTATTGAAGCCATCAATATTGTGGAAAATATAGCTGGAATCTAAAGAAGGGAGGTGCCAGAGGCAACTACAGCTCCATACTGGGAGCTGTGCAAAACATGACACAGATGCACTGGAGGAGAAATGAGCCACTGATACTTCATAGAACAGCAAAGTATATTTAAGAATGGGAAAAAATATCAACAATACCTTTGTTAGTGCATTAAGTCCTAAAGCAGTTGCAACAGCACCTGTGGTAGCAGAAACATAGGCTGTTCCCAGCTGGCTAAAACAAAAATAAAAATGTTTGTACATACACAACAATTACATTTAGATCACTTGAAAGTAATTAATTTTTCTATATTTAATTTTCTAATCACTTAAACTTATGTGGCCAATTAAAACGTCAAAGGCAATATGCACAATGATAATGAATACCAACTGCACCAAAACCCACACATGCAGCTAGCCATGTTGTAAACATCTGAATTCACTCAATCTGCCTTCAAACGTACTTTACATGCTTCTCAACTAGCAGGTGTGTCTGCATGCCCTCTAATCCACCGCTTTCTCCAGGAGGTCAGCAAACAAACCTGGCTCAAGAACAGCGAGGTAGGCACTGCAATTAGTCTCCTATTCACGATTTTTAGCATTCTGCACCTGTTTTATCTCTTTCTTTGCCTTCAAGTAGATACAAGTAGTATGCAGAACAATTCCTTGAAAGTTCCAGTGCAAATAAGCACTCAGTGTTGCATGTGCTGCATTGCAGGACACAGGCAGGAGAAGGCGATACATTAAATTCCACACAAAACATCAATTTAGGAATACTGTGGTATGACACAAAACTGATGCATTATTTTCAAATGATTAACTGATCAGTGCAGTTAGGTTCCTATTAAATCCTATGTTGTTGTTTAAATGCTTATAATCATGGTGCTAGGGCTCATCTTTAAAGGAGGAAAGGCAGATATCACCTCCACCATTCTCAAGGCTTCTATTCTAAACCTATCAAGTTGGTATTAAGTATAGATTACCAAACTTGTCTATCACCTCAACCTTTAAAGCCCAGCTGTGTCCAAATGCATTGGAGAACTAGTTACAAATACATCAGAACTATGTAGTTGAGTGTCTGACCTGACAGTAATTGGGGCATCACCACTCCTGTTCGTGTAATTTACTATAGCGTTGAAGGACTGGTTAATCCACTGCCAGAAAACCACCGCTGGGGTCGTCCTTAAAACAAGAAACAATTATTATTATTTTTAAAAACACATTTGAAACAAAAGAAGAGAATAATGGCAAGGAAATCAAGAAAATCAGTGCAAACTATAATCACGTGGAGGTTCTGGTTTATCTGAATAAAGCAATTCAGTCAATAAGATACTGTCTTACTAATGGGAGTACAAGCTATTCTTTTTATGAGATTTTAAAAGTATCATAAAAAAAAAAAAAACCTAAGTGAGCTAAATGGCCGTAGCACTTCTGGACTAAGAAATTTCTGGTCCACAAATAGTTGGAGGTTGGGAGATTATACCAGGGATTAGGTGTTCCTGGGTGACTAGGACCACAAACTAAGGAGAAAGCACTGAAGTTTCTGCTCCACTAGAATTTCAGCCAGGGGAACCTGGCCATGTTATTTCTTGAAACGGAAAAAAAAAAATCAGAAGATTTGTGTCTTCTCATTCCTTCTGGTTTCCAGTATCTGACTGATATGAAAGGTACAGTGATAAACTAGCTGCATTTTCTCTGTCACTGCTGCTTTTCTTCCTTTCTTCTCATGCATGAGCAATTCTTCCCCATTCATCTTTGTGTTTCCTGTGCTACCGCAACGCGGAGGATTTTAGGCTCCCTGCGATGAAGTTCAGACATGACTCACACTACCCTCCTGCGTGGCCCAGAGCCTTCCTAGGCGTAACGAGGAATTTGGTTTTTTTTCCGGTAACCAGCAATAACCAAGACCTATTGACATGCAGAAAGATAGAGACTAAAATTCACCATCCAGGAACTTCTGCAAAGTTCCATTTGAACTACTGAGGGTATTTTCCAAATAAATCAGAATCTTCCAGCTAATAAGCAATTCAGCTTTGAGTGATTCTACCAATAATGCAGAAAAAATTAAATACCTTCTGTAACTACTATCACTAATAACAAAAATACATAAAAATAAGCATAACCTGTTAACAGCAATGTTTGTGGGCAGTTGCACCGGTGGCTTTATTTGTATTCTTGACAAGCCCAGCGCTTTTATACACACACAAACACATGCATACACAAGTGCCTTTCAGAACTGCTTTTCTGGAATGTGAATCAAGGTACTTTAAAAATTCCATCATTGAAAGTTATATTGGTATTTCTTCTAACCTTCCCCTAGTCCCTGCTAACAAAGCATTATCTCACATATATGTTTCTAGCATAAAGCCTATTAACAAAAGACATTAGCTTCCACTAAGGACTTCATCATACTGGTGAACTGAGGACTTTTGAGGAAATGGAAAGGTCTGACAGGTGCTGGATGTACCAACAACTATTACACTTAAGCATATTTAATACTCACCTGGCAGATAGAACATCCTAAATGCCAGATCACTAAGGTTAGAATTACCAGGTATCTCGTGCTCTTTGTCCTCCACAAGGCTCTCCTATAGGGATGGGATTTGGGACTACTCAACTTCCTTGGTTCAGTGAGGAAAAGTGGGATATTTGATGAAGGATTAGAGAGGGCCAAGGACTTATCTCACAGCTACTTCTAGAGGAAACCACTAATCAGTACGGGTGTGGAGGAATGCAGAGAGAAAGAGAAAAGGAAGCAAAATTTTATATTTTCAAATATTTATAATGCATCTAAAATATTCTGTTGACAGTGTATTGGAGATGAAAATTTCTGTGATCTGTAGAGTCGTAACAATCTCCCATGGGAAGCAGAGGCCAGACCTTGAGAAAAAAGATGTTTGCCTGCCTAGGCTGAGTGGTGAGGAGCAGGGATACAGCTGCTCAGCCTGGTTCACAGGCAGCCCCCAGAAACGTGTTGAAGCCGGCCGCTCGGCCAGGCTTGTAGCCACCTTAACCGCAGACCTACTCCAAACTAGCTTTGCAGGCCAAACACCTGCAGCCCATCCGGAACAGACAGTAATATTCATTTTCATTCATGTAATTTGCAAGCAAATATTTGAGGCATAATATTACCATTACTTACCTATAAAAGGTCATCATACACCCGGTGATAGTCATGTTCATTGGCACCTGAGCTGACATTCTGCCAATCAAGACCATCTTTTCACCAGTGTCTGGATGAAAGGCTGAATCATAGATATATTTTGCTCTCCACAATTCATCTTCTGTCAAGCCAGGTGCCACGATACCTTGTCTTGGGACAAGTTAAAAAACAAAACAACAGCAAAAACCGTAATTGTTAAAAAATACTGCAAATTCCAATGAAAAACATGGCATCAGAGGTCTTGAGGATGTTCATACTAAATTAACCTAGCATTCTAGTCAGCTTTATTTTTAAGGATCTAGTAGATCCTTGGCTTTTAAATGGACTGTTGAAACAAAAATAATCAAAACTTCCAGCAGTGATTATGTTGGCTGAGTTGATGCTTCCAACACCAGAGTCCTGTTTATTCAAAGCTGCATGAGAACTGTGGAGCTAAAATCTTTTCAAAGAAATTCTCAAAGTTTAATGCTAAAGTATCTTGCAAATATTTAAGAAGCTACTTGCCCCAAACAGAGCAACATATCAGAGCTTTCAACTCTGCTGTTATATTAATTATTTGCAAAATCAGTCACTTTTTCCACATTCCAGAATACTTAATAGTATCATTATAGTGTCATAGTATTATTAACGTAATAGTAGATGTTCTCACATGACATCATTTCCTCATTTATTAGAGAATATGGTAATGTTTCCAGGTAAATAATAGGAAGAAAGAGCGGTACAATGAATACAGTGTCTTAACTATTTCCTTTCAAACATATAACCATCTACTTAAAACCAACATGGATTTATTTGGGCCAGCAGTAACAATGACCCACTGTCATACCTGTAATCATGAACAATTTTTCTTGCATTTTCTAGTTGGGCATCAGATAACAAAATATTCCGGGGATCTGTTACAGTAAAGAAGTGACTGGCTCGTCCAATGAAAGTGCTTTGATCCCATCGGGGCTCCTTAATATTGATATTTAATGGTATATCTGCTGACATCTTCAGAAACTGTGAAGAAAAAAACGAACATTTTCGTTTTGGAATTCTCATTTCAAAACATTCCTGTAACATTTGAGTCTCTACATCTGCAAGATGAGAAGCAGTTAAACTTACAGTAAAAAAACAGTGAAGCACAAACACTGAACATCCTGCAGAACGGAGCTGCAAACGAGCAAGTGTATACTAGGAAGCAGATGATGTTGGTCACTGTTTAAATGAGGTTGCTGTCCATATAAGTAAAAAGCAAGAACTTAGATATCTACAGAACATATATTTCCATGCTTGTTTCTCCAAATATTCATATATAACATGTTTTTTGAGGGCACAAATATCTCAGGATGTGATAGATGCAAAAAAGAAAAAAAAGAAAAAAAAGGATTTTGTTAATAAGCAGTTATACTAAAAAATGATGTGCTGAACAAAAATTTGCTTTATTTGAGTGATGAAGTAGTGTTTGCTGACCATGTTTTTTTAAGGGGAAGGAGAAATTAAATACTTCCAGAAATGCTTGAAGAGGTGTTACAGAGTGGCAGAGGAAATATTTAACAAAATCCAATTAAAATCTTCGGCATTGCAAAACAAAACAAAAAACCACAAAGGCAACAAACTGCATTAACAAATGTTGTTTCCTTAAATCCACGCTTCAACAAAAGGCAGATTACATAATGCAACAATCTGCAACATTGTGAACACATGACAAATTTTCCTAATGATACTTTAAAGATGCTAAAAGAGCTCCAGAGAAGGGGGCTGAGCTAATACAGCTATGTTTTTGTAGGGCTTAAAGCCCAGAAATTTTAAAATTAAGATTACTTTAACATCTAATGAAAAGACAGTCTTCTGTATAATATAAGCTACTTCAATATAAGTCTACCCTTGCTGTGAACATGCGTTCATCTTCTTGTGGGGGCTAAGAAAGAAAATAGAGTTTCACACAGCTGCACGGGGAGACTGTGCTGGCCGAATGAACAGCTGGAAAGGCCACTGAAGTCACATTCACAATCTAGGAGGGCCACCACTGTTGAAAAGGGTAAAAGACAAACAATACTTGACAACACATCTAAACAGTCACATCTACCATGGAAAAGACATAGCAAGAAAGGGGAAAGGAAAAAAAAAGCAAATCTTCACCATTTCAAATACCACAAATCTCTGAACACTGAGATTATAATGAAGTTTCTGATAGAACTCCCTAGGCTTGCAAACCCTGAAGTAATATCCTACCCAAGTAAATTAAACCAGTAATTAAGAACTGACTGTGTTCTCTCGCCTGCCTGTATCACCAAACTGTGGAGCCTCCGGAGCAGGGTATCCCTGCAGGACAGCAGCTGAACCCTGCTCTGCGCTCCGGGACGGCTGTCGTGGGCAGCGCTGCTCCCTGCTGCGCTCCCACAATCTGTCAACAGACACGTCAACACGTCACGTACTTGTCACCAAAAGTGCAGCCAAAACCACAGGGAAGATGTGGCTCTGCAGACGGCCAGGAATTAGGCATGACGATGCCCAACACAGATTGCACAGAGAAAAGGGCTGCGCGAGATTGCGCTTGCCGGTGGTTTCAAGAGTCTTTCGCTGCCGTCCTCTCCTCTCCCCTTCTCTCCCTTAGTCTCCCTGCTGCTGCCTCCTCATCTCTCTCCGCCATCCTCTCCCAGCCCTAGAAAATGAAACAAACTAAAAACCATGGTACTGCCTTGTGCTTTTTTGTCGTGCTTCATCTCCAATGTTGCAGCACATGCCTGGGAACCTGTGTTTTTGATTACAGACTTTTCAGAATAAGGAGATTTTTCGTACATGTATCACGGACTAAAAGAAGGTCTAATTTTATCCAGACAGACACCTCAATTCCGTGTTTTTAATAACCTTCTACAACAATATTTTAAAACAATACTGCTTTTATATGTTTTGCAGCCTGTACTTTCAACCAAAAAGATATTCTGATCTGGGCTGAAACTCCCAGTATTAACCACACTCAGGTTTGTTGTCCTTTCTCTGTTCAGATAGAATCATCTGCTACTTCTAGTGCTTAATACTACCATTAACACAGTGGGGAGGGAGCTGAAAAATGAATGGCCTCTCCTAAAAATAAATACATAAGAAACAGCATAAAGTCTAATAAACAGTTTTAGTACAAAGGCTATGTTTAGCTTTGCCTCAGAATCAGCAGCAGCAGCAGAAGACTTTAAACTTTGTTTAAAGGTTAACAACAGAACAACAGTTGCAACAAATCTACAAAACGCTGATTCAGGAGTAGTCAGGAATTCAGCTCTCAGCTGTTCTTTTGCAAAGTTTGCATTTTTAAACATGAAACTGAACACTCTAACCACCATTCAAATTGAAGCAATAGCCAAAAGTGTGGCAATGTTGTATTTCAGAGAGCAACAAACTACTCAGTTTTGAGCAACACAGATATTTGATAATTTATTTTAGCATGTGTAAAAAGAAATGTGGTTGCAAGCAAAAGTTGAGGTTTTTAACAAAGATTAAACTGTACTTGCTACTAATACTGCACTGAAAAGACTCCCAAAACAAGGACCTAGATACGACTGCATGACCAGGGGTGCACGATCATCTCTTTTGGGAAATCCTGGACAACCTAACCTCACTCTGCAGCACCAAAATCATTAAAGCAGATTTTCTGCCTTCACTGGAACCATTTATACTTTTGTATGTTATTTGCACAAAATCCATTCCGCAAATGAGAAACTTCATCAAGTATCAGTAATTTCTACAGAATATAAACTGAAACTGGGAGTAGTACAACAGAGATTTCTTACTGATGTAACTGTGAATTCCATATCTGATGTAAATACACATTTTTAAAGCTGTAATTATTGTTCTGAGTCGGGCAGCATCTCTAATGTCACAACATTCATTCATGAGAGAGGAAAAACAGCTTTTGTCAGTACTCTGTTTATTAGAAGGGCATTTTTGCAATGGCTAAAGGATAGAAAGAACTTTTTAGTTGCTGGGGAGCATGATACCATCATCTCTCTGTAAGAGAAACTAACCGGGAACCACCCCAGAAATATTTTTTCTGAACAGATATAGAAGCCAGAATTCTCCTGGATGGGGATCCTCTGGCAAGCATCCTTAGATTGCTACCAGATGAAGTTAACAGCTGCTTCACTTTCTACATAGAATTTTCTGTTACTTTTTGTTTTCACACTGGCTGGAGCTCAGTTTACAGCCTTCTGTACCTTCCCCTACAAAAAGAGACCCTGCTAGTGACAGAACATCCTTTTACCTTCTTGTCTGCAATTTGGGAAAGTCAGCAAAAACCAAGCTGGGGGACACCAAGGGAAAAAAAATGTGATAAAGAAGTCAGCTACACCACACTTCTTGGTGACCAACTTCCAAAATGAAACCTGCAACCCTCTTACACAAGATAGGACACACTGTGAGCTTGAACCTATGATTCAAAACAGCCTTTGTACAAGAGTTAGTAAAGTAGCTGGTAAACTAGCCTACACAAATGCTGAAAAGGGAAGTTTCACTTATACGTTAGCCTTTACCAGAACTTAGACACCTAACTCCAGGCGAAATAAAGGCACTTAGGCCAGAACACAATTCCCCAAATCCTCTAGAAGCAGCCAAGTGGCCTCTTTTTGGAAAAGGAGACTGCAGTCACA